GCTCTGAACGCTTTCAAAATATTTATTGGATGAAGTCATAACAGTATAAAAGTCAATTCCTCACAAAATATCCAACAATTGTTTACTACTGTCAGCAATACTAATTAGAAATAATAAAATATTTCATAAATTCGTATTATTTTTTTAATAGGTACAACTTTTTAAATTTATGGATTAAAAAAATTGTTGGATATTTTGTGCTGTATTGACGTTTATTCTCTCCTCTCTCTCCTCCAATAGATACAGGTATTTTGAAAGCGTTCAGAGCCGTACTCAGAAAAATTTTTTAATGATAGCTAGAAACCTTTTTAGCGATTACAATAGAAATATCATCTAATACAGAATTAAAAATGACTAGATTTTGTCATAAAAATAGCAGCGATATATTTAAAAAAATTAATCTGATGATGGACCCTCGAAGACGAAACGTCGGATTGCAAAAATGTTGATGCCATTCATTGGATAGAGCGAAAAAAGTGGCAATGTAAATATGCAATTTATTTAAAATTCATTTTCAAATAAAACCAGAAAAAAAATAAAACGATTTTGCAATATTTCGGGTTTTCGGATTTCGCGTCAACAGTAGACTTTGTAGTTAATACTTTGTATTGCTGAAATCTCAAAACATCCTGATAGTCCATTGAAATGAAGGCTGAACCTCCATTTTTTCCTCTGTCGATCAAACCTGGGCGCAAATATGTATTCGACCCTCAGGAATCCGAATCCGCAAAATTTTTGACCTAGGTGGTCAGGAAAGGGGTCAAAAGGTCAAAAAACCGTAAAAAATAAGTTTTTTCGCAAATATCTCGTAAACTACGGCAAGTAGCAAAAAAATAATTGCACCATCGTGTTCCCAGGGAAATTTTACATCGATTTTATGCTATTGCTTATTAAAATTAAATAAATTTATGTCATCTTTTGGACAATTACTAAGCACGAGAGGGGAAGTGTATATCTCCGGCGGTGGGGAGTAGTACAGCGCGCACCCTACATGTATCGGCTGACTCGCAGTCGACAGCTCTAGNAAGATTATTGTTTCCATAACGAAAGAGGCTTTGTCCTATGAAAATAGACAAATAAAAAATTATGTCAAACGATATGTGACAGCTCTTGCTTCGTGCAAAATTAGGGTCATTCGTGTGAGAAAAGTACTTGGGTTCCATATGAAATTCCCAGGTCTCTAACTAATTCCCTTAGACCTATTTGGGGATTTACACGGACACAAGCCAACATGTTAATAACATTGTCTTCCGTACTTGCACGGCGATGTCTTCTTACAGAATGTAGTGGCGTCTGGATAAACGCTGAAATACTTCTCTGGAGTAGCGTATTCTACGAGGGTATCGCAAAGCCTATTCTCTTGAAGCTATAACAGCATTTTTCAAACATTGAAAATAAACTGCCAACATCTCATACGCTTCCACATTCGTAAAATGTATTTTCCTTGTTCACAAGTACTTTTCCAACACAAATAACACTAATTTTGCATGTAGCAAGAGCACAGAATTATAACACCAGAAGCGACAGCCGGCTTTTTTCCTTTGATCTCGCCGTATCAAATTTCGATGACCTTGCGCCATTATTTTGTAGGTATAGAGAAGCGCCAAATTTAAAAGTGACAACAATCAGTTGTGTTGTTTATATAAACNTGCATGATCTACAACTTTTGAATTGGATACTTTTTTGTTTGAAGTCAACTTTCGCCAGAAATCCCAATGATACAATTTATCACGCATTTATTTTTTTTAGGTTTATTATAAGCCTTTTTACCATTTCCACTTATAAAAGTCCAGGTAACAATTTTTTTTCTCCAAGTGTAATTTGGTTGGACTACTATACAAATATTGTCCTTAAAAAGAATGATTGCTTTATTTAGAAATTTTAGATAACTGCAATATATCATTTTTTTTATTAATAATTCAAAATATCTGAGTAGTTATAAAGATTATTGTTTCCATAACGAAAGAGGCTTTGTCCTATGAAAACAGACAAATAAAAAATTATGTCAAACGATATGTGACAGCTCTTGCTTCCTGCAAAATTAGTGTCATTCTTGTAAGAAAAATATTTGTATTCCATATGAAATTCCCAGATCTCTAACTATTCCCTTCGACTTATTTGGGGATTTACATGGACACAAGCCAACATATTAATAATATTATCTTCCGTTCTTGCACGGCGATGTCTTCTTACAGAATGAAGTGGCGTCTGGATAAACGCTGAAATACTTCTCTGGAGTAGTGTATTATACGAGGGTATCGCAAAGCCTATTCTCTTGAAGCTATAACAGCATTTTTCAAACATGGAAAATAAACTGCCGACATCTCATACGCTTCCACATTCGTAAAATGTATTTTCCTTGTTCACAAGTACTTTTCCAACACAAATAACACTAATTTTACACGTAGCGAGAGCTGTCACATTTCGTTTGGCATAATTTTTCAGTTGTCTATTTTCATAGGACATAGCCTGCCTCGTTACGGAAACAATAATCTTTATAACTACTCAGATATTTAGAATTAATAAAAAAATGAAACATTGCACTTATCAAACAAATTTCTAAATAAAACAATAATTCTTTTTAAGGACAAGATTGGTATAGTTTTACAATTTAATTTTGGCTTGGATTATATCAATGTTATTTAGAGAACTAAATAAAGGAGGATGTTCTAACACAACCTCACTGTTTTAGCAATAACTTGAAAACAAAAAATGATATCGACCTCCGGTTTGTGTATTTGTTAATACACTTAATAAAAAAAAATAAGGTACTGGAATTTTCCATGAATCTTTATGGCATACCACCATAGTTGCAAGTGCATCTGAAGTTGGTTGTATCTCGTCATCTCCACAATCTATGCCTATATCGACATAAGCCCAATTTCTTTATTCAAAATCTATTTGTTTTTTTTACGTTTGAGGGAAACGACAGGTCCAGTAGTTTTTGAAGTTGACGGTAAAGGTTTAGTTTCGTTGCTACTCTCTTTAATACAAGGAATGTCCCTTTCTTTTAAGAGTGTCAGCCTTATTCTGGTTTTATGATACCATCTTTGTTAAAATGATCAGAAGTAAATATAGTTTTTGATCAGGTAATGCTATCGATCCATTCTATGTCAAGGACTTTTAGCTTTTAGCCATTGACGAAATCTTTTTCATTTTTAGGAAAACTACAGAAAAACACAACTTCAGTATAGAAAGAAAACACTAAAAAATATAAGTTTGTGAAACATACCAGTGAAAATTAACTTCTAAAACGGACAAAAATCTTCTAACATTTTTGCAGTTTCTAAAAAAACGAGATTTTCTGAATTTGCAAATTATAATCCGTAAGACAAGTCAATAACACTAAATTCTCATGAAAACAAGGTTATTATCCCATTTCATATACCTAATAAACGACTCCTATTTATATAGGAAAATAACAAATAATCAAATATAACCTCAACTCAAAAGTATGTCAGTAAACAACAACAAAACACAGTACACACAACATAACATAACAAAACAAATGAGAAGAAGAGGAAGAGAATACATTGAAATGACCGTCTTTGGTCTTTTCTATCATCTTTTATTGCATCACAAGAATAATATTCGTGTGCGAGATTGCATGCTCCGTGTAAACTGTGCAGTCACTGCAGTCGACGAAAAGCAGTATATTATTCCTTTAGCTATGTGAGGCGATTCTACTCGCTTTTATAAAATTACGTACTTAACCTGTTTTAAAATTTGAATTTTGCACAAATTTAAATAGTTAAGAGAAGATTCTTATAATTTAATTTTCGTTTTTGAGAGAATTTGAAGTTTCCTAACCCACATTTGCACTCCCGTTCAAGATATATAAAATCAATCGAGGCAATATGAGTAGGCAATCTCAGATGCACCTCACGGTGCATTCCCTTGAATAAAAAACCAGTACATACATAAGAAGCTGGCTAAATACCCTGGCTGAAGGCTGAGCCAAAATAATAATAAGAAGAAGAAGGTGGATGTGAGGTTAAGCAACAGATGTTGCAAAAACGCTATTATGTTTAAGTTTTTGTCAAAATAAATATTTTGCCATAACTATTTTTTCGTCTGGACGTCTTTTTTTCCGTTATATGTAATAAACTGCTCATGAAAATCATATTTAAATTTCCTGTAAGTATATACTGCTACGAACTGTCATGTGTAATATAAGCTTGAATACTATTGTTTATAGATCAATATTTTATGCATTGATTAGAGAAGTACTGGGAAGCAAGGTTTTCATTGTATTAGATATATGTACTGACTTACACAACTTTGAATCAATATCGAAATACTCTTTTTTTAAAAACTCACTTCTGCAAAAGGATCCGGATTGCAAAAGAAGGCTTTGCATCTCAGCTAATCACCTGAAACTTTAATTTATATTACAGACATGTATACAACTTTCTAATGTGAAACAATTTCATTAACACTGGCACTCCAATGGTGTATACAGACAACATTCATGATTCAGCGGCCAAACGGTACATTTCCACTCGAGTGTAAATCGAGACAAACAACCAAAGTAACCTTTTCAAGTTCCCCACTGCGCCACTCATATTAAACAGGACATAAAGCTTGTCTTTTAATATATTTTTAATATTATATCTCTAAATAAAAAATTAATCAAATGAACAAATTAAATTATTCACCGATTTGCACAATTTTACAGACGTTTTGTCCTTCGTGAACGTTAACAAGTTCTTAAGTGTTTCAAAAATAATTACCTTTTCAATAATTCTATTACAAACTACAATGTAGTTTCGTTTTCTGTAATGCTATCTGCAATAATTAAAGTGGAACATTTTGAAGGCAAATATATTTAAAATTTAACGGTTTGGTCGAGATACCTCGATGATATTTGACCAATTTGCCTCGTCATTTCGATGATAAAAGTGTAACACTACTGAAAAACAGAAATAAAGATGAAAAGAACTAATTAACAAAAAAAACACATTTTCAATAATAATTAATTTAATTTTATTATTAATTTATTACACTTTCTTTCCTGTAACCTCATCACAGAGAGTTGCCAAAGCAGCACATTCCTCAGTTTTCTGTTGTAGAGAAATTTCTAAGGAACCGCATTTAATTTCGAAGCGTTTAATAAGAGTCTTAAGTTTATTAACATCCGTTTCGTACTTGTTCCATAGCTTGAGTATCTCCTTGTTGGATCTAGGATTAAAAAGATAAATATACGTATATTTCCAAAAAAAAAAAAAAGATAAACGTGAAAGCAACTTTTTCACAAATGCAGAATCAATACAGTTTTTTTTTATTGTTGCTAAATTAAAAATTGCATACAAAACGTCCAATTCTGTCTTTACACTTGCGTTTATGAGAATAATTTTTATATTCTACTTACTTTTCTATTTGTTCTCTTGCGTGCGCTTTTAACGCCTCATACCTCTCCTCGTTTAGCTTAATTGTTTTCTCGGAAGCCTGCAGAGCGGCATTTAAAGTGTCTTCATTCGATTTAAATCCTTCCAACAGAGCTTTAGTTCTCTCGTATTTTCTACATAAAAAAATACATTTCATTATGTACTAGTTGAAGACAGTTTTACTTACTGATGTAGATCAGAAAACACCAATTCAATATTGGCTAAATGACGTGTCGTTGTTTCATGTTCTTCTCTCAACTTCTGATAGTCAGCAAGGCAGGTAACTATTGTTTTTTCGTATTTTTCCATAATTTTTCTGTAAATCGTTAATAAATGAGAAAGGTTTTTTTTATTAAATGTATATACATACTGGCAATTAAGCTCTTCTTTTTTTATCTGGTTCAATTCAGCAACGGCCTTGGCTTCCCTGGCTTTAGCCTCTTGCAACTGATCCTCTAATTCCTTCCTCTCACCTTTTTCGGTTAACTTGGAATTTTCTTTTAGTGTTTCCCCAACTTCATTAACTTCTACTTTTTCTAATTTCTTCTCAGTTTTTGTCTCACTATCCAAATCTAAATGTGTCTGATTTTTTTCTGTCTCTTTCTTAAATTCAGACTCATCTTCACGATCTGATGTTAACTGCTTTTGAGGTTGTTCTGAGATACGGCACGTTTCAATCTCTGTTTCACAACTAGACTCCGCGTGCTTTTGACATATTTCGAGTTTCTGAAATTGGAGCTCGGATTTCTTCTTAGAGGATTCTTGCTCCTCTTCTATTGATTGAGGTTGTTCTGTCCCTTCTTTGTGTCCTTCCTCACATTGTATTTCAACAGTTTCTTCAGAAGGCCCTTCTTTTTCAGTTTGTTTATCGGTAGACTCAGTTTCGTCCTTTGACGATTCTTCCGATGGTTGGTATTCCTGAAGGATTTCTTCTTGTTGAAAATCATTTATTTCACTAGATGGCCTCTCTTTTATATTTTTGTCAGTGTCCTCTATCGCATCTTCTTTTAATACAGACGACTCCTCTAGAGATGACTGCAATTCAAATTCAAATATAATACAATCACTTTTTGCTTTAGATGTACCAGGAAAAATATTTTCTTCTTTTAAATTAACTTCCAAGACAGTTCTTTTTTTCAGTCACTGCAGTTTTTTCTGTTATAGCTGGAATAAGCAAAGTTGAACATTTCGTTTCCTTGTGAATATGGGACTGGTCGGATTCACTATCACTCCTTTTTCGAGCAACATATACCTTGTCTTTAACAAAGATTTTTCTAATTGAAAAAGGAACATGGAACCCACTAGAAATTTCATCCGTGGTGGTGCGATCTACAAATGTGGTTTTATCGTCACTACTTTAGCCAAATGAGAAGTTTGTTCACTTTCAAATTCATGTGAATCCTTAATTAAGTTGTCGACAAAGTCTCTCAAGATATACTAGCAGACACAGCTTGAAATTTTTCAGGGCTAAAAAAATCAAATATTACTAACTCTATTATCTTACTTTATACAGAGGATCAAATGTTTTTAAAACAGAACGTCTTGATTAAGCTTCTTTTGGCTTATTAGCGTCACATCCTGTATCTTAACTGAATTTTTATATTAATACAATTTATAGGATAGTATGTGTAACGTTTTATTAAACTACATCCTGCTTTAAAGGAATGTAAAATATAACACGAAAGTTTTATTATTTTATTAATTACTATTACTATTAACGTGCGTAATGGGCATTAAGACTGCTTCAAAATGTGAAAATATTACACACATTTTTACTCTAAAAGTGACATTTCTTTGGAGAATCGTAACCGTTTTTTACTTTAATAGGAATCAGATCTAGGTTTTACCTGGTTTAACAGTGTCAGATTTCTGTACATTTAGGGCGTATCCATTTTTCTTATCATCAGAGGAACTACCTCGCACCAATATCCTCTGCAGCATTTATGACCTCCGATGGAGCGGGGTCGAGCAGGTTTATCGCTCTTTGCCTGCAACAAGGTCCGGTTGTTTAGGCACATCGTCCACGACTTCTCGGGGTTCATTCTACAAATAATAACTATTATGTAAATCTACTCTACATGAATTATGAGATAAATTTAATTAAGATTAGAAGAATTAAATTTAAGATTTATTAATTATATATTTAAATAAGTTGTAAAGTATTTCATTAATTTTTTTTTGATGTTAGATATATTATTTCCTTCCTATATACAGAGGGTACCATTTAACACTCCCGCTGCCAATATCTCTGAAATGAAGAAATTTATTATAGTTCTGGAAACGGGTTGTTAGGTGCCTCGGATAGCTTCAAATTGTAGTTAGAACTGTTAGTTCAAATCTTTCTGTACAGATGGCGTGGCGATACTAAAAAATTTGTTGACAAATGCAGTCCATCTGAAAGATCGTTAAATTTTGAGTAATTTTTGTAATATAAAGTTTTTCTCTACTTTTACTTGTTTTCGAAATATGTCGACTTCAATATGCAATGAATGATATACCAGGAAAATCTATTATTTTATTTAAATCACACTGAGACAAAATATTCTTTTAAAATATTGTTATAATGGCTTTGTTTACATCATATACTAACAAACAATAAATTATAAAAAAAAAACGAATGATCAAATACAGAAAAAAAAATTGTACAATGGTAAATCTTATAAGGGTCAGAGACGAACATATCAAATATTTCAATTAC